CAGCTTCCTGTTAATGTGAAATAGTTATGATGGATAAGGTAAAGAAAAAAATGTTAGATTTAGATCCATCTCTTCTGCAGTGTTTTTCAAAGCTTGGCAAAGGCCCAAATGTCAAGGAAGATTTGAATTAGTTATTTTTGAAACAAAGCTTTGACTGGACATGAGACTGCTGGATAATGGGGCAGTCGCTTTTAAACATGGAAGTGTCTCTCAGAAATCGGTTTTGGAGTACAAAAGATAATTTTGGAAAATGTAGGGCCCGGCTAAAAATAACTTGGCAAACACAAATACATGACTAATGGTGCATAGTGGGGTATTCCCCCAACAGGACCCAATAAAACCAGCATGCAACATTAGAAGTCAGCTCATTGTGTTGAGGCTTTAAGTTTAAAAAAGAAAACCGCAACTATTTTAGAACTAACAAGCACTGCCTTACTGGGACTAACACACCCTAACTTTAAAGGACAAATATTGTTGGCTAGTATTTTACACACATGGAATTCTTGCCTCTTGTCTGAAATCGCAGGACTGGGAAATGTTATTGCTCCCAAGGGTCTCCCTAAATCAAAGTGATCACATATTTTTGGATGACAGGACAGATTTTAGACATGAATTGCATAATCATATGGCTCATATTGTGTCAGGCAGACAGATTTATTTTGAAAATATGTAATTGCAAGTATCCAGATTGTAGTCCAGAAAGCTCTCTGGATTAGGCTCAATCCCAGAATGAATTGCCATTTTATCGTTCCCAGAGACATTACCCAAACTGACCCCCTGAAGTCTCCTGTTACAGTAATGTGCAACAGACCGTGAAATGTCTGAAGCTGGAAAATAATCAGGACCTTTTGTTAGTCTTAGGTGGGAGAGAGAGTCTTTTACACAGAGACATTGTAGCCACATTCCTCATAAAGGCTGCCCTCTGTTTTAGTGAGTAACATGTCTGGGAGGTTTGGTGCCATTTATGACAGAAGCATTACTGTTTCACAAAATGCATCAGTTTCAGGTCAGAATTTCAGTATTTTAGCCGCTAGTTTAGTGATTGATGCTCTCAAATGACAAGAGAAACTGAAAATCATCATGTGACTCCCATAGACAGAAAAATTAAATTAATGAAATAAAGTTGATCTACCAAGTTGATTAAAGTTTGTTAAAATGTTCAGTTTTAGAAAAAAAAAAAATTTATTGCAAGGTCCTATTAGTCATATCCTGTGGTTTTCATCAGTGGATAAAGTTTGCTAAGAGCAAATTTCTCTCATGACAAACTCCAGAAGAATCAATTAAGTGGACCACGTAATAAAATGTTTGCCATTCTGACATATCCAAAGTCAATAATAAACCAATAAATTCTAGTTTTGTTTTATTGTATTTTATCATTACAAGCTTTATGCAATCAGGTCATCCCATTGAGATCAAGGTCTCTGAAGAGAGACCTGAGTACAGCAGAAGAAGAACTACACAAACCTGATCAGAAACAATTGCAGACATTGCTTTTGTCCCAAAAATGAAGTTTTAATGTACTGTAATGAAGTCTTCCCACAGTCATTATTTACTCATGGGGTAGATCTGTCAAGAATTTCAAGAATTTTTGTATCAAGACGTGAACAATCTCTGAAAAAAAATTAAAAAAATAAAATTATGTATAGGAACAGTGACTTCTCAAATTCTTTTTTAGCATGTTTTTGTGCCAGTAATGTACTTTAAACTTTACTACATTTGCCATTTATACATTTGTTACTACTAGTCTGAACTCTATTCTTCATTTTGCTACATTAACTGAAATGAGCTATCATACAAGCTGTGTGTGCGTGGTTACCTGGGCGCTGTGCCATATTTTAATGAGCTATGGGCAAATGCAAAAGTTTAGAAAATCAGTTTGATGATCTGAAACATTTCAGTGTGACAAACATGCAAAAAGTAAGAAATCAGGGAGGGAACAAACACTTTTTCACACCACTGTAACTCAAATCCAGTGACTGCACACTTTGCCACATGGTGGCCCTGTTGGAAGGCAGTCTGCAAAAATGTATATTTTCGACACCTTCATGTATGCAATTGAAATTATTTAAATCAAAGGTAAACAGAAGAGGAGCTGTGTATAAAAACCTCATAAAAATTGAAACCACAAGTGCAGTAGTGCAAAAGAATAGGAGAATTAAATGTGGAGTCTGACACATCGGATCTCTCTCCTCTAAAGTTGTACTAGTAAATTAACTAATATCAGATTATAATATTGATTTATTTTGTCTTACTGAAATCTGGCTGGGTGATGGAGAATATGTTAAATGAATCCACTCATCCTACTCATATTAATACTCACATTCCTCGAGGCACAGGCCGAGGAGGTGGAGTTGCAGCTATCTTCGACTCAAGTCTACTAATCAGCTCTAAACCTAAACTAAACTATAACTCATTTGAAAGCCTTGTTCTTAGTCTTTCACACCCAAGTTGGAAATCACTGCAACCAATTCTGTTTGTTATAGTGTACCGAGCACCTGGTCTGTACTCTGAATTCTTATTTGAATTTGCAGAGTTTTTGTGAACTTTAGTCCTTAAAACAGAGAAAAATAATTATTGTAGGGGATTTTAATATTCATGTGGACGTTGCGAATGATAGCCTTAGTACTGCGTTTTTTTAATTGTTCATAAACCGACTCACTGTTTTAACCACACCCTAGACATTGTTATGATACATGGTATTGAAATTGAATATTTAATAGAACCCCTTTTCATCTGACCACTATTTGATAACTTTTGAGTTGCTATTGCTGAACTACACGCCATTAGGCAAAAATTTCTATAAAAGATGTCTGTCTGATAGTGCTGTAGCTAAATTTATGGATGTGATTCCATGAGCTTTTAATTCATTATTAAGTCACAAAGTAACAGAGGACTCCTATGCTAATTTCAGTCCCTCCCAAATCGATCATCTTGTTGATAGTGCTGCAGGCTCGCTGCGAATGACACTCGACTCTGTAGCCCCTCTAAAAAATAAGATAATAAAACAAAGACAATCCTGTTCACTCTATATTTGCTTCCTTTAGGCAGTATTATCAGGAAACTCTCCATAAACTTTTATTGTTATGCAGATGATAATCAGTTATATCTTTTGATCGAGCCAGATGAAACTAATCAGTTAGCTAAACTCCAAATGTCATTCAGGATGTTAAAACCTGGATGACCTGTAATTTTCTAATGTTAAACTCAGATAAAACTGAAGTTATTGTTCTGTATTGTTCACCTCCGTGCCGCATTATCTAAAGACATAGTTACTCTGGATGGCATCGCCCTGGCCTCCAGCACCGCTGTGAGGAATCTTTGAGTTATCTTTGATCAGGACATGTCGTTTAACTCTCACATTAAGCAAATTTCAAGGGCCGCCTTTTTTCACCTACATAATATTGTAAAAATGATGCAGAAAAACTAGTCCATGCATTTGTTACTTCTAGGCTGGATTACTGCAATTCCTTATTATCAGGCTGCTCCAAAAAGTCCATTAAGGCCCTTCAGCTGATTCAGATGCTGCAGCACGTGTTCTGACAGGAACCAGGAAAAGAGATCATATTTCTCCTGTTTTAGCTTCTCTGCATTGGCTTCCTGTAAAATCCAGAATAGAATTTAAAATCCTTCTTCTCACCTACAAAGCTCTTAATGGTCAGGCACCATTTTATCTTAAAGAGTTCATAGTACCTTACTATCCCACCAGAGCACTGCGCTCCCAGAATGCAGGGTTACTTGTGGTTCCTAGAGTCTCCAAAAGTAGACTAGGAGCCAGAGCGTTCAGCTATCAAGCTCCTCTCCTGTGGAACCAGGTTCCAGTTTGGGTTCAGGAGGCAGACACCATCTCCACATTTAAGAGTAGGTTTAAGACTTTCCTCTTTGATAAAGCTTATAGTTAGGGCTGGCTCAGGTGAGTCCTGAACCATCCCTTAGTTCTGCTGCTATAGGCTGAGACTGCTGGGGGATTTCCTATGATGCACTGAGCTCCTCTCTCCTCGTCTTTCTCTCCCTCTGTATGCAACTTCATCCCATTAATGCATGTTACTAACTTGCCTTCTTCCCTTTCCTGTAGTCTTGTGCTTTCTCGTCCCTCTCTCTCTCCTCCTATCACTTCCTGCAGGTGTTTCTGGCTCTGGAGCTGTGGAGTCTGGATCAGTAGTTGCCCCCTATGTTCCTGCTTGACACCCTCTGCTACAATTATTATTACTAGTCCTTTTGTTATTATTATTGTCATTATTATCATTAACATTATGATTATTATCATAAACATTACTATAAATATCTGTACCATTATTCATTCAGTCTGTACCAACATTACCTCACCCCCAACAGGTCGAGGCAGATGGCCGCCCACCCTGAGCCGTTATTCTGCTCGACGTTTTTCCTTGCCTCTGTCGCCTAGTGCTTGCTCTTGGTGGGAATTGTTGATTTGATTTTCTTTAAATAATATCACAGAGTATGGTCTAGACCTGCTCTTTTATGAAAAGCACTATGAGATAACTGTTGTTGTGATTTGGCACTATATAAATAAAACTGAATTGAATTGAATGCCTTCATAAAAAGCCTGATATGTAAAATAATTGTATTGAACAGAAATATCTAAATTAGAGATGACCAACATCAATCAATACAAAATGCATTAGACATAACCATGTTGCACCATACTATTTCTAACTTGATGCACAGCGGATGAAACACTCCAAATAGAGTTGACATAACTTGGACTTAAAATGACTGCCCACCACTGCCTGCCTTTGCCTGAATTTGTCTCACTGTACAGAGAATGTCGACTGCGCTTCCCTTTCTGTCCACAGGGGTCCCTGTCGGGTGCTGCACCCTGAACTTTGTCCTAGTAGAAAATGGGCGTGTTTACTCTCTGAGCCCAATCCTTTGGATTATTTCTCAGGAAGACGGGAAATGGACGGGATTCAGGTTTGACAGGTAAGAAGAGCGCGTGTAACTTGAAAATAAAGTTTTTTATCCTTGTAGAACTTGAGCTCAGACATTTGTATTATTTCTTAGGAAGATGAACAGATTGTTAACTTTGTAGAAGAAGAAGCGCGCGTGTAACTTGAAAATAAAGTTTTAGAACTTTGTAGAACTTGAGCTCAGTCCTTTGAGTTATTTCTCAGGAAAAAAGGACTCAAGTTTGACAGGTAAGATGCGCGTGTGTAATTTGCTAAAGCGTTGAAACTTTGTAGAACTATGCAGTCCTGTTGTACCATCTTCTCATAGTTTTGTTATTCATGGGTTTGTTTATTTTGGCAGGACTACATGTGATTTTGATTTGTTTCTGTGCGCTGTGTCATTGTGTGTTTCTGTCAAGTGCACTATGACCACTTGAGGCTTTACTCCTGATTAAATTAACTGGAGTGTTTATTTTGCTCCCCTGGGCAATGTGGTTGTTGTGTCTTCCACGGGATGAATCTATCTTGTCTGTATTTCTTTGGTGACAGTAGTGAAATATGACACTTTTCTTTCCCACATACAGGACTACACTACATCTGAGCCACAGGGGCTGCTGTTGTGCACCTCAGGGAATAAGGTGGAGATGGAGGATTTCTGGGCATTGGTGCTTTGGGTGCTGTACGTCTGGCTGTACCTCATTATCAGCCTCATCATGATCCCAGCCATGTTTGGCTTCTCACTGGGCATCTCCGAGACCTACATGACCATCCTTGTCAAAACCTTAGAGGTACTGTTGTTTACTTCGCAGATGTAGGCTACATGATTTAAGCTAGGCAGATATTCCGATTCTCATCCATTGGATCACATTTACCTGGCCATGAATGACTGCTGTTTGTCCTCCTCTGCAGTGGGCCACTCTGAAGATACAGAAGGCAAATGCAGAAGAACAAACACTCAAAGCCTCTGCATCTAATGGTGAGTAGATAGATTTTAAAGAAAAGAAATCCTTGTGGTAAGGGCGCTTAAGAAAATTTGTAGTCATATCCTATTGTGAAAGATATAGAGACTGGTACATGTGCTGCAACACTAGATTTCATCAGATACTTTATGACGAGTCTCTGTAAGCATGTTGCAACAATATTGCCCAGTTTTTAAAGAGTAATTGATTTACACATTTCAGAACGCTTTTTGTTTCTGCATACTTACTTCTGGGATGATAGCCCTGTGAGCTTTAATGGCAGGTTTAAATGGCTTTAATTTGGACTGCAGGACTGTCTCTGTCTGGCAGCATGACTCAGTTAACTTGAGGACTTTTATGATAGGCAACAAAGTAAAGTTGCTCCGGGAACTCTGCCTATCTCACACAATGCAATCACTCAACTCTTAATCAGTCACTAAGCTATAAAGGGTGCTGTCCCCCGCTGTAACACATAAAGACGTTAGTTATGTCAGCAAAATGTGGCCTCTGCAAAGTTGTTAAACGTCTTGATTGAATATTGAATTCACGGTTTTGGACTTTGCCGGCTGGGTTATCAGATAAGGCAGAGTCTAAACTGAGGTCTACTCTTAACTGTTCTGAGACCTGTTAGGTCAATAATAATAGATCACAGGCAGTGTAACCTTCATTCCTCAGGACTGCTCTCTGAACAGCTTAGTTCTCCAGTTAGTAATATGTATTTCAGGTCAAAAGCTGAAAGGCCATGTATTATGTGGGTTGATGGCTAAAGCAAATTTTTTCGAAAGTCCCTGCGGCGATGAGAAAGTTACACACGCTTACACTTTAATACAATCTATTATCTGGGCTCTTACTATATCAGAGCTGAAATCTGCTCTTTAAGCCAAATGACACTTGTTAACACATTCTTACTGTAGGTGATACAGAGTTGCTGTTGATTCTTTTCTTTCTTCTCTAAAGTGCTTGTCACAGAATGGTTTTATGCTTTGATATAATATAATAATTTCTTTTAGTTTTTTATTTTTATATCATTCTTGCTAAGTACAGAATGTAACATCCTTAAAAGAAAAACTTTCCTGAAACAACATTTTTTTTCTTCTATTGACTCAAACCATTTCATCCTCTAACACTATCAATACAATCTAAAAAGATACGACAAAGCTGATTTACCTTCCTGATTGCTTTACTAAGATAATGATTCCTATCAGATGATTGAGTTTGACTGCATGTGTGTTAGGTCTCATCCAGAGGGAAGATGGCTCTATGGAAAAAGAGTTAGAGGAACTTAGACGCAGTCGCCCCAAACCACCCGTGGGCGGTGATTTTACACTTTGTGACTGTTTCTATTTCACCCGGAGAGGAATTGAGAGCATTGTAGAGGATGAGGTACATTTTTACTTTATTAACAAGAACACAGTTTGCAATATAAATGGTAATATGTGATTTATAATCACTGGTTTTGCATTTCAGACTTTAAGTGGTCTGGTTACGGTAGTGTGATTTTTAATTTCATTCATTTTTAAATTTAGGTGACACAGCGGTTCACGTCCGAGGAGCTGGTGTCCTGGAACCTACTGACTCGCACCAACAATGATTTCCAGCACATCAGTCTGAAGCTGACTCTTGTCTATGGCCTCGGCATCCTTGTGAGATACTGCATCCTCGCCCCTCTCAGGTACACAAATACTAAATTTCATACAATACAATACAGCATTGCAGCCCAGGCAGAAATAAAGTTGAATCAAACCTCAGCGGGTGGAGATGTAGAACTGTTTGTTCTAGGAAACATTATGTTTAAACTGAAATTAAAGCTCATAGGGAAACAAGAAATGCAAAATCATAAAATGCAGAAATGCACTCTCTTGTTTAAACTTTGACCCATTTTTTTCTTTTTCTAATAAGTTTGTCATGCACTGAACTGTGGACATTTGGCTCTACCTGTTGAATTCAACTTAATAAATAACATTGTTGGTACATTCAAACCAGCCATTTCTCTGACAACCTGCTATCAGACCATGCTTCTTTGTATTTTTATAATAATTATTTGAATATGAGTCACTGACTTAAGTTAGTTTTCACTTACATTTGGCCTACAATCACACAAGAAGACTTCTTAAATTTTTGTCTTACTGTTCAGCATTTACATCAGTGTGTTCTGCTTTGTCCAGGATAACACTGGCGTGCATTGGCCTCAGCTGGTTGGTCATAGGAACGTCTGCAGTCGGATTACTTCCAAATTGGAGGTGACTACAAACTATAATCATCTCAATAATAGTCATGGTCCATATCTAACTTTTCCCATGGAAATGGTTCCCTCCTCATTGTGTTTGTTAATGTGTGTGTTTTTAGGATTAAGTTGTGGCTCAGTGAATGGGTCCATGTAATGTGCTATAGGATCTGTGCTCGAGGACTCTCTGCCGCCATCCTCTATCACAATCGGTAAGTGAGCCTCCTTACCTTTTTTACAGAGATAAAGAATATGTTCAGAGACTGACTTTGTGTCGTCACTTCGCAACAACAGGGAAAATAAACCCAAAAAAGGAGGAATCTGTGTCGCCAATCACACCTCTCCTATCGACATTGTGATTCTCTGCAATGATGGGTGTTATGCAATGGTATGGAAGCAACTTTCTTTTTACATTTCCACACTGATGGGTAATTGTTCATGCTAAATCATGACGTGCTGCCATAATTGCCTAAACGTGTTGGTCAGGTGGGTCAGGTACATGGAGGTTTGATGGGAGTTGTCCAGAGAGCAATGGAGAGGTCCTGTCCTCATGTCTGGTTTGAGAGAGCAGAGATGAAAGATCGCCACCTAGTGACCAAAAGGTCAGTATTCCACTCCATAACTTCAGCACGTCTTTTTCAGGCTTGTCTTTGCATATTTTTCTCGCCTGTATTTTCTCTCTGGCTGCTCTGGTACTAAGAGAGGTTGGCATTTTCCTGGCAGTAAAGTCTTCTAAAGTTTCTGTGTTTGTTCTTATCCAAACAAGAACAGATATGTTTTGGAACGCTGCTACTGAACAGTGACTTATACATTTTGGATTCCAGTATCTCCAGTATCAGTATCTGGGACACTCATACCAGATGTTTGGTGAATTCTCCCAAATGTGAAAAAAACTTCATAGGTGCAATGTAATTTATATAGTCAAGAAATGGTTTCCATTACCTCTTTGTGTTGCTTCCAGGTTGAAGGATCATGTGAATGACAAGACAAAGCTTCCCATATTGATATTTCCCGAAGGTGAGTGTGACCATGTAGAGAGATAGTTACTTTATCCACACCAGTTTTAGGTTTGTCTTTATATAATCAAAGATAAGACTCGGAGAGTGTTGTTGTTTTAGCTCACTGGCTGATGGCAGTCTGGCCACTGAGCAGTGACAAGTGAGTAGCTATTTTATGTGGGTTTGGAGAGAGCTCACACAAATCTGTCCCCTTTAATCTCCCGATGTCTGGTTTCCACAGGAACCTGTATCAACAACACATCTGTCATGATGTTTAAAAAGGGAAGTTTTGAAATTGGAGCAACGATATACCCAGTAGCCATTAAGGTACTTAAGTCCTGTCTATCAATCAAGCTTCATGCCTCCTTCAGATTGTTTCTGGCCTACTGGCTTACAGTACATATTTCAAAGTACAGTTCCTCACTGGACTTTTTATGTGTTTTTGAACTTTTCTTAGTATGACCCAAAGTTCGGAGATGCTTTCTGGAACAGTTCCAAGTACAGCATGGTCAGTTACCTGCTGAGGATGATGACCAGCTGGGCCCTGGTCTGCAATGTCTGGTATCTACCAGCTATGCACCAACAGGTGTGTATGACATTTGCTGAAGCACGGGAGCACATGCATGCATAAAGCCACGTACACAGCCCACAGGTCCCACCTCTACCTCTCCATATATGTATATGCACAGACACAGCACAGCGGACTGAGTTTATTTTCATTCAAAAATGGCAGGAGGGGGAAGACGCTGTCCAGTTTGCCAACAGAGTTAAGTCAGCCATCGCTCACCAGGGAGGGCTGGTAGATCTACAGTGGTAAGATTCAACCTCTTCCCTTTCTTCACTTTCTTTATTACAGCTGGTGGGTGAAAATCTTTTATCAACAAGTTTTGAATTCACAGAATTTTTTTTCCAATAGGAATGATGAAAAAATATTAATTCACAGAGGAATGTGCAATCTTTTAACTGAATGTCAAACATGTAAAACATGAAAAGTAGTTTTTAGCTTTACAGAGATATTTATGGAAATGGGACAGATGTGGTTAAATAATCAGCTGCACCCTTTGTTTGTCACTCCTTGGCTGCCTCTGCAGGGATGGAGGCCTGAAGAGAGCAAAGGTGAAGGAGTCCTTTAAAGAGCAGCAGCAGAAGCAGTACAGCAACATGGTGGTGGGAGAAGACAGCAGCAGCAACAGTGACTGAGATCCCGGCCATGTTTTTGGGGAATATGCACTGGAAACAGGCCTCTCTCCTCTAGTATAATCTCATTAGCCAGAACTGATGGGGGAATACTGCCAAGTGGACTTAAACACACTGTGAAGCCTTAGGTACAGCTAAAAGGTGGAGAGTCTAGGTGATTCACAGAAAACACAAATGCAGTATTGAACTTTATGAGAAACAGATGTGCTGAAAAGGGAAATCTCTCTCTGTTTTTACTGCTGCTGAAGATACTGTAGCTACAGTTGTGATTGAATGTTAATGTTGAGAAAATGCTCTGAATGAAGTATGTGATTTCAGACAAGCTACAGGTTAAAAAAACTCTTTCAGTCAGTCGACTCATTCATTGTTATTTAAAATAAATTTCAGTTTACACTTTCAATACCCACGGTGTGATTGTGCAGTGGCGAGCCTGGAGGTAGTAGTACTGTTTTAGAACATAACATGACATATTATTTAACACATTTAACAAAGAGAAAATTGGATCTTGCAGTGTTATACTGTGACATAATTAACACTGGTAAGCACCTATATAACATAGTTTTCAGTTAAAAGACAACCTGTTTGAACAATCTTCCATTATTGGATTTAACACTGATTGACATATATTTTAGTTTTTAGTTATTCAAAAACTTCTTGAACAGTGTTTCTGGTAACCGTGACTGCTCACCCTTTCTCACAGAACTGCAAAGGTAACGCATGGACACAAGAGACACAAGAGTTTGGCACTTAAATAATACAGGATAATGTTGCGTGTAAAAGCCAAGTTCATTAAATATCCACATGAGATGTTACAGCCTTAAAGGAGAACACACAGTGCAGACTTTTTGGATCTCTCTGCACTGGATGGTTTTCCCGAGGTGTGACCCTCACTGCTGCCATTTTCCTGTGGATTCACCTCTTTGGATCCTTAAAGCAAATTAAAAGGTTTGTTTTAAGTTCACTCACTTTAACTGTGTGAATGTCGACGCAATCCAGATTATTTCTTTTTCTTTTTTCTAATGATCAGCGTTCTCACCATCATTCTCATGATCACTGGGACCTGTGTTGTCCTGCACGCCCTGTGTAAAAACAAACATCACTTAATCACGTCACAGTGCCACATGGTGTCTGACAGCCACGTAACCGTTATGAGCCAATACTTGATGACAGTACTTACCTGCAACAAGTTAAGTTTGTTTTTCTTTCTCTGTTCCTGATATCTGCAAATGTCAACCATGAAAAGATGTTTAGATGTGAGTGCCAAGAAAGTCAGCTGAGTCTAATTTATTTACAGTGATGTGTAGTGGACAACAGCCAGTGAAATGTGACGTTCTGCCTCTTCCTTTTAGTGAACTAGCCAGGAGAAACTAATGGTATAATGAAATATTTATGCGCCTGATTAGTGTCCCACATCTGTGTTTCCATCTGCACAGTTCAAATGACAAACAGGTTGCTGCTGATTAAGACCGGCAGTGTTTAAATTATTTTATCTCTTAGCAATAAAAGCCAGTAAAGTTGCTCTGTGGCATATAGTGGTTTTACCTTATTGAATACAGTGGTTTCTACATTCAGAACAGCCCTGGCGTTAACAAACTGTTATCACATTAAATGTATTACTTGCAGAATATGATTTAAAATTTTGCTAGTGAATTAGTTAAGTAAGTTTTAAAATGGGGAATAAACATCTGCAGTTGGACTAACCAAATTGGAGGTCACCAAATATAATTCCACACAAAATACAGATGTTTAATTAGGATGGGCAACTATTTAATTATTTGTGAATATACCTGCAGTTTAACAGTTTAACAAAATCACAGAGTGGGCCTGTAACAAAACATGCATTTTCTTTATCAGCAAAATACATGTGATAGAAACTTCCATTAACTTTCTTAAAATGTATTTCCTGCATTGACATCCCTATAATGTGCTTTAACTGAAGAAGAGAGAATACTCTAAGTCCAGTGTGCTGAACAGGCACGGCAATAGTGTTTCGTATCTTATCCATCGATTCAAAACATCGCAAGTCTTCTTCAGCTAAGTTTGAAATGTGCACTTGTTAGTGTGTTTTCAGTACACATGTGCAGTAATCTAGTTACCCACCGCTGCAGATAAGAGTCATAGTTCCTGTTCGCAGGTTTGGTCCTCTTCTTCAGTCCATCTGGTGTCCATGTTGTGCTTGTATCTACTCCTACATCCACACTGCCTGCAGCTCCAGATGCAATAGGCATCTTTGACCAGTAGGACTGCAGATTTCAGAAATCAAAAATAAACTCACAATCATTTGGATACAACTCTGCTGGTGCAAATATGCTGAAAGTAGAGCTTGCCTTGTAGAGTTTCACACACTCCTTGCCCTCTTGTTGGTGACTGGCTGTTTGCTGTGTGAGCAGGAAAATGTGGCTGTGGAGTTTATGGAGGTGTTTGTTGTTGCATCCATGGCAACAGTGTCCAGAAAGATGGAGAATAGAACAGGCCTCTGTGGATGTGAAGGAACCACTGACGTTTACTTTACTTTACTTTAATATAAAACATTTAGAAAAAGTCCTGTATGCCTCTACAAGCAGCCTGTGGAAAGTAGGTTATCACAAAACATTTTACCAACAAAGAAAAACAGCCTTTGTCTTAGTTTGCTATTTTAGAGGTTATCCACTTGGTCCTGAAAGGGTTTCATCATGGTTGTTGTGACTCTCAATATGCAGAGGAACAAACATTACAGTACAACAAGAATTACACCAATATTTGAGTTATGTATTAAACCCTGTAATTCTCCCTTTTCTTTATGTAACTTCCCTTTACTTTTAGGGGGTCACATTTATGGTAAGGAGTTTTTAGTCTTTTAAAGTGGTGCTTAACAAAATGAACATTTGTAATCAACAAAGAAGCTTTTGAGGAGCCCAAAACTTTATTCTCAATAGCATACAAACAACGGAGCCAATTTTTAATGCAGCATTTATAAGCATTGGATATTTGTTAATGAATGAATCAAATACTCCAACGTTAGTCCACCAGCCATCAAAGTTTTTGAATTATATCCAGCCAGTGTAAAAGAAAACTGACTTGACTAAATTAATTACAGTCCTTAGGAGTTAGGATTCTTCCTTCTCATCTCCGTGCGTGATGATGTAGCAGAGTGACTTGTAGTCGATGTTGCCAGTAGGATCAATGGGAGCGAGCGCGAAGGCCTGATCCACCTGGAGGTTGACAGAGTGACAATTTGCCTAGTGAAAATTATTGTCTCCAAAGAATAGTATGAGAGGCACTATTAAAATAAAGAACACAAACCTCTTCTGCTGTAAATTTATCAGCCTGGTTCATCAGTAATCGTCTAAACCTGGCAAAGACAAAAAAGGAGAGGATAAATAATAAATAATGTTACGGTTCATGTGGAAAATATGAATAACACTAAAGCTAATAAATAAAATGTATCTTACTCATCCTTGTTAACAAAGCCCGTCCCATTGGGGTCAAAAAGTTTAAAGGCAGCAAGTATAGTGTCTTCAGGATCGGTACCTGGAGGTAAACAAGCCGTCAGCATCTTCTAAAGGTTCATCAAAGGAAAGTCAGAGACTTGATTGAACATTTGTGAAAAGCTCTCACCGTTGAGTTTCTCCCCAAAAAGAGTCAGGAACACAGTGAAGTTGATGGGACCCTTCCCCTCATTCAACATCTCATCCAGCTCCTCATCTTGGATGTTAAGCTTCCCTGGTACACAATAACACACACACATACACACACATGCAGATGCACACAGAGTAAGCCAATGTAAACCAATACATCAGATGCAATAAGAAACACAGGTTACGTCAGTAGATCCTACACTTTTTTTATTTTTCGATATATGTTAAAAGATTAAAATGATGAAGAGTTAACGGTGAAGAAAATACCCAGCTGTGCGTAGGTCTCCCTGAGGTCCTGTTTTTTGATAACACCATCTCTGTCTTGGTCAATGCAGCCAAAAGCCTGTAGGATAAAGTGCACAAAAATAATAATGATGAATTAAAATAAAATATGAAATAGATACATTTTTTTGATTGTTTAAAACAGTTTTCTATTGAATTACAAGTTGTTTTTATTCAAGTACAGGCAAGCTGGTAATCGTTCAGTAAAAGTAGGTATTTCACCTTGCACAGTTTACAATAATCATTTTAACCAATTGTAAGAATGTGCATTGAATTTAATTTAAGGTGTTTCTGTATTCTCAATGAAAAGGGAGGTGAATTTAGTCATACAAAGCATTATAATGGATAGCAAACACAATATTAGCGCTTCACAATCTGTGCTTCAGAACTTTATTTAGTGCATTTCCAAAGGACGTTTGTTAGCACTTTACATTACAGCTCGGTAATAAGAAGGTAATAGTGGGGTAGTAGTTTGATAATTAAGAGGTATAATTAAGTAACACCATGTAATTACCAAAGTAGTAAGCAGGTAATAGCTTGGTATTAATAATGGGTATATCTGGGTAATAAGAGGTAAAACTATTTAGTAATATTATAGTTACATTTTGGTAACAATACCGTAACATTTTAACAATAACATGGTTATATGAGTACAATATGTGGATTACATAATAGTAATAAGGTGACATTAATGGGGTAATAACCTGATAATCATGGGGTAATATAGGTTGATGTTTTTACTATATTATAGGCTAAAATGAGCGTAGTACTTTCAAAATCATGTGAAAATTCTTGGAATTCCAAATTATAATGCTAAAATTCATTCTCTCTTATGTTCCATTTGCTTCAAGGTAGTACTGTACAAATGATATTTTTAATGCTGTGGCTTGTACAAGTAGAGACTATTACCACGAAATTAATTAAATAGAAACAGGTAGTTTAGCATTTTGCAACCCTGATTTATGGTTTCCAGGTAACAAATCACAGCATTAAACATATCTTTGCACAGTATTACCTTGAACTAAAGTAAATGTTTGGAATTCAAAAACCACAGGTTCCTACGCAAATTTCCTCCAAGAAAAGATTTAAAGGGAGCTGTCTCCAGGCAGGACAAGACTCAGTACTTTACCTCTTTGAACTCCTGGATCTGGGACTGCTCGAACATGGAAAAGACATTGGAGCAAGACTTTTGTCCTCCCCTCTGTCTCTTATTGGAGGCTTTCTTACTTGCCTGAGAAGATGAACACAGAGTGTTTACATATTTCTTTTTTTGCTGGAGGTCACGTTTTGTGTACTGCACAGTGTCTGCATATAAATAAGTCATAAGTATCCAAAACAACTGTTTTCACAATAGAAAAATGATGTTCTTAAATACGCAATTGCTTAAATACATACAATAAGAGGATTCCTAAATTAGTTTTCTTTTTAAATCATCACTGACTGAAAGAATCAAAAGACTGAAAACACTGACTGACTTACCATGTCCGAGTGATTGTATGTGGACTCCCAGCTGAGATGTGATGCTGGGGTGGGTTTTATGTATGGCCCATGTTATCTTCTACCTTCCTATAATAGCCTGTGATGGGCAGCACAGTCCCTTACATGGCCATGGCTGCTCTCTGTGTATCACCGAAGGGACCTGATAAGAGGTGAAGCAGCCAGGATTCCTCTGGGGCTGGAAAGTAGAGATATGAAGAGAAGAGTCAAGACAGGGGAAAGTGACCTCTGACAAGCACTCAACCAAATAAAATTACCCTTCAGAGGTCAAATCAAGCTCTAAACGTAACTTAAATTATGTTTTATGCACACTATTATCAAGACTTGATTATCTCAATTGCCAGCACCAAATAAATTACCCCAGTAATGACCAGAATATAAATGGATTATATTCTTATGAACAGATTACGAACAGATTATCTAAATAGTTGTAATAGATCCATTTCTCAGGTGTGTTATTTTAATGAAAGCACAAAATCTAGCATTACAATTACATTCTGCATTTACAAGAAAAAATGTTTGGTAGCTTTTACTTCATCAATGTAACATTAATATGAGTATTACATCTATAGCTTTAATTTTGACATTATATTAAAGGTGTATTACATGACTTGGAAGTCATCATATTAGTTGTGGAAATGGAAAAAAAAACATAAAGTGAAAGTACAACACTCAATACTTTTTTTAATTTAGCAATTTTATTTACAGTTAAGCTTATTCACATTCAAAACACATTTCATCATACACATGTGAAAAACTACAACCTACTGGCTAACACACAAAAGGTTGTAAACATAAGATTTTAATATACAATACCAAATAAATATTTCCTTGCTTACAAACAGGAATTACTACACAACAAAGCAAGGAATTTGATTTAGTCATAATTTACAACAGCATTTATAAAAAGAATCCTTGTGTTGTATTACCAATAATACATCAGCCATTTTTAAATGGGCCAGTCTGTCACAGTAAAACAATTCATAAAGTTCAAAACAATGAAATTGCCACATGTTGGTCTACCACTACCAAATACAGTCTATAATACAAGTTGTTTGCTGCTTTTCTGTACATCTTCCAGTATTGAGCATCCACTTTGCTGACACACATAGCTCAGAGCCCGAAAAAGGCCAGAGCTGCAGACTATGGATGACATGTCATCAGTGTTCTCAGATCAGGGTTCAGGCTTGACTCACTGCTGTCCTGCTGGGAGACAGCTCAGTGCTCAGCTCCTTTTACTGTGACAGCATACATGCAGCCATCTTACAGGCCACTGCTGAGATAAGAGCAGCTCCTCGACCGCTCCCTTCCTCCGACTGGATGAAGGTGATCTCACAGTGAGGCGTGAGGTCCCTGACAATCTTGTGGAACCTGTCACGGAAACTGAGATAGAGAAAAAAACACATTTAGTGTACAGAAGTAGTTCAATATCCATCTGTCCCACCTCCCTTTTCACTCTCTCCACCTTTGTTTGGTTATCCAACTAATTCATCTACTGTCAATAATACTTCAGATGACTGACTTTTTTGTTTGCTTGGTAATTTGATATGTTCAGAAAACTAAGATATTCAAAAGTCTAAAAGCATTCCTCACCATGGGTGCAGCTTGTAGACAGATCCGTCAACCCCCACTGTGATGTTCAGGGCGTCCTGGCTGCGTCGCTCTCGCATCAGGTTAATCACACCAGCAAGCCCTGCACCACACATACGAGCAGAGCGAGTGGAAACACTCTCACAGACCAGACGCACAATGTCACAGTCCAGCTCTGACGGCAGAACACCCAACGAAGACAGGATATTGTAGATTTGCTTTCCATCCCCAGTGTCACTAGGAAAAAAATGGCAAAAGCCAAATGAATAAGAGTGCATGTTTCTAGATGCACAATTTACATGGTTACACTATCTTCATAATGCATACAACTGATATTACTACTATGTCTATATATGGTAGAAAGATCCTTTTTTATTATGCTTTTGTACTCATATTAAAATTTTAAATCAAGGTTCAAATACTGCAGTAAATAACAACAGTAAGTGAAGCAAACCAAACTGCTTCCCCGTATTCCCCGTCAACAATGATGTATAATCTTATGTCATCAGCATATGCTTATAGACAATATTTTTGTTTTTAAAGCTCTTGTCTTAAACTAGTGGATAACTGCAGCCTGGTATGGAATCATTGATGCTCACCTCTCCACCTGTGAGACGTAGCGCGTCTCAAAGCTGCCACGTGTCTTCAGCTGCTCTGAGGCTTCACCATTAAACAGCAAGTCTTCGTTCACCAGCTTCATCAGAACAAGCCTGACCAGCTCACCCATATACTTCCCACTGATCAGCTTCTCATAACTACAGGAGGCAAGGACAAAAGAAGAGAAAGGTTTAACTTTAAAAACAACTTTAAAAAACAAACTTTAAAAAATATTATAATATTTAATATAAATTAACTCAAGAGAGGATGTTGAAATGGTAGAAGAAACAGGAGGCATATGCACGTCACAAAACACATGAGCAAACAACTTCCTTTCTCTACACGTGCTGGGAAAGCAGGGGAGCGGATAAGGATGGCAATGTCATTGCCAAAGAGGCTGAATGGGTCTGGGCTCTGCAGTTTTCTGTGTGAAGGGGCTGCCAGTGCAAAAGGTAAACAGCCATTAGGCCCAACAGGCACTATGCAAAGCAGCAGAGAGGGATCATTAATCTGACATCTCCATCCGCTGACTGACCACTGACGTATGAGGGCTCTGGCCGTTTACAAACATCCTCGGGGAAAAAGCTGGTAGCTTAGTAACTACACAGAGACCTCAGGTGAGAGTCGGGTGAGCATTGCCAAAGAAGGATGATTAATTCAGAAAAACAATAAGAGAATGAGGGAGGGAGTGTGCGGCCCATACAATGGGAATCTGTCCCTCCCAGCACCTTTAATGACAAATTACTCAAAGCTTGAATGTCTGGTGACTAACACTTGAGTGCATGTGCATACAGAAGATGAATTTGCAAGACATACATTTTGCGTCAAACGTTGCGTTCATTATTTGACTCACAGCTGCTGTCCGGGGTTAATTGAGGTCTCGTCCACCACTCTGTCGTACTCCAGTCTGAACTCCTCCAGCTCCCCGTTGTCTCCGAATGCCCCCCACTCTGTGTTCACACACATCCGGCCCTCCTCCCCCTCCACTAGCTCTACAGTCCTCATCTCCTCCATGTAACACGCATTACAACCAGTACCTGGTTAAAAAAAACAACGAAAAAAAGAAACAAAAATACAAACCTTAGATGTGCCTGAGTCCGCATGTTTCTATGTATAAGCAGTGGTAAAAGTAGAATTCAAATGTAGTAATACTACAGTGTGGAAATACTCTGTTACTAAGTAAAAGTCCTGCATTTAAACAAAAGTACAAAAGTATTATCATTAAAATGTACTTAAAATATTATGCAGAATGGCCCATTTCAAAATAATGTATGTTATATTATTGGATTATAATCATTGATGCATTAACATGTACATCACTTTACTTTGTACTATGTAATAAAGGTGGAGCTAATTTCTATTTATTTCTTTTTTTAATATACTGTATATATAGCTTTATATTATGCTGGGTATAGCTTGTGAATTTCCCTCTGGGGATAAATAAAATCTTATTGATTAATATAATCAGATTTTGGAAAGCTGTTAAATAAATGGAGTGGAGCAAAAGATACGATATTTGCCCCTGAAATGTAGTGAAGTAGAAGTCTAGTACTTGAGTAAATGTACTGAGTTACTTTCCACCACTGCGCACAGTGTTCATGTTCATAACTACTTACCAACAATCATCCCGACTTCACAGCTGCGGTCCTCGTAATAACAGGAAATCATGGTGGCTACTGTGTCATTCACCATGGCAACCACATCCATCTCAAAGTCCTAAATGACAACACCAAATCACAACGCATTTAGAGATGGCCTGCTGTATACGAGTGTTAAACAACAGTCAGTAAATCAGTCTTGTGTTGTTTGTTAAGAAATAAAAATATTCTAATAAACAATAACTCACCCCTCGTCTCTTGATAGCATCTCTGAGTAAACCCACAACATTGTTCCCTTCTGCCCCAGAAGCCTTGAAGCCTTTGGTCCAGTTAAGCAGGATACCCTGCGGAAAGGAAAAAGACAAACCATGAATGTATAAACTTTATAATAATAAACAGAACTTTTATAAATCAAAGAGAGTATTTTTCTTGATGGAAAAGATGGAGGAGGTTCTTGTTACCCTTATTGTTTAAAATTATGTCCAGTGTACAGTATGACATCCTACCTTGTCAAGGTCCTCATGTCGTACAGGAAAGGAGAAGGTAAAACCCAGAGGAAGCTTCTTGTGCTTGAGATGATGTTTGTCCAAGAAGTCTGACATGCACTCTGCTATGTAATCAAATAGCTGCAGAGAGAGAAAGAGAAGATATGAGATATGGAAAAAACACACTGCTAATTTCATTTGGAGAGCTTTAAGGTCAATGCTATGCCAGAGTTTTTCAGAAGATTAGACACTTTACCACCACAGAGCTCTATCAGCTTTAGAAATGGACAAGTACAAATAACAGCAACGTAAAATCAACACATATTGATAGTGAGGAAGAATTGCTATGTAAATACTAGAGTCTCTAACCATTTCGGCAGTGCCTGTCATGGCATCTTCAGGAATAGAGTACATCTGGTTCTTGGTCTCCACCTTCCAGCTCCTCTCCTCATCGGCACCCACCTTCACCAGCATCACACGGAAGTTTGTCCCGCCCAGGTCCAGAGCCAGGAAATCGCCTACCTCTGTCAAAACACACACTAAATCTGAATGCACATAGAGGCTTAACCTGGCATGCTGATAAACATTAGATTGCATCTTGGTGACATCTGCATGATTTTATTACGATTGAAGAATGAGTATCTACCTGATCCCTCGGGGGTGGAGCAGACATAAGTTGGAAGCATTTTGACACTGGCCTCTTCATGAGTCTCTAAACGCAGTCCTCTGTCCATCTCACGCTGCATCCTCTTCATGACTTCTTTTAGCTCTTCCTTACTCAGCCTGAACTCTGACAGGATCTGTTCTACCTGCAGTGAGAGGAGAGAAGAGCAGGTCAGGAGACACGCAACTACAAATCAGAAGCAGTCACAGCAAAAAAAGAAATCAGGGCACAAAAAAATTTGATGCTATAGAAAGAATAAGAGAAAACTAAAACAATGCAACACAATAAAATTAAGTGGAGAGGTAGTAAAGAGATGTACTGGACAATACAGTCTGTAGCAGTCTGTGTGTAAAGACTATGGTTAATTCAACAGTCACATTAAAAACACAAATCATAGCAAAGATACAAATTAACACAGAAAAGCAAATCTTACCATGAGAAGTTTATCAACTACAGAGCTGTAGCTACAAGGCATCTTCACAATCTGGTCGAGATGAGAGGAGACACACGGCATCTTCACAGGTTTCACTAAATGAGTCTCTGTGTGTGTTTCTAGGTTTGCGGTGAGTGTGTGTCCACCCTGTGTGTGTGCAGAGTCAGTGAAGTGTGAATACCACTGAATGAGAAACTCAGCTGTTTTTATGCTCAGGTGAAGTGGGCTGGCCACACCAGACGCAAATGCCCACCCCTTCCCAATGTCACCCCATCTGGTGATCGGGGTTCAAACAAAAACAAAAAGTACAACCTCTGTACATAATGGAAAAGAATATCCAAAAATAATTTATTTGACCTCATTTCAAAAAAGTAAGACTAACCTTTATGGACAGTTCAGTTTTATTTCAGGGAGGAAAATTTAAACATATAATTGATTGGCAGAACATTTGGATAGATTTAGATAATATATGATCATATATTTCATCTATGAGTTGATTCTACATACGGCTTTATCATGATTCAGTATACAAAATTATTTAATTAATTTGTTGAAAAAGCTAATTCTCAAATGAACCATAGAAACCTTAATAACTAAGAGAGACACTCACTTCTTTAATACATGACATACTTATTCACAGTAAATAATATTCTGAATTACTAGTTTTATAATAATGATATTTTCAATGGTTTTACAAATGTTGATGATTAAACCTACCTCAAAATACTATCTTTTTGAGCACTCAGCCTTATGTTATTTGTCAGTAATTCAGTTTAATTGCAGCTATCTTCTGAGGTTTTCCTTGTTTTAAGATTAAATGAACAAAAAAGCCCACAAAATCTCAATCTCCTGATAATCACCGTGATGTTTCAGTGTGAAGAACTTAACACTGCTTACCTTTTGGGTATATAAATTATCTCTATGTCTCTATATCCATGAGGAATTTTAACAAAGCAAAATTAAGATACATTTAGTAAATTATTCTTTGCCTTCTGTTGCAAGGAGGCCTGTGATCTAGAGCTCACCCAACCAACAGACATTTTCCAACCCACCAACATGACAAATCAAATAAATTTGAACATGATCCTTGTGTTCTGAACTTTTTATTTTATTTAGAGGAGCAACAAGCGACACCACGGGGTTGCTCAACGAGGGAACTTCAGAGGCCTGAGAGAGTTAAGCATATATTTGTAAAATTAGAAACATCTAAAATTAGCAAAAGCGAGGGATGAACGACCTCTAAAACTAGCAGTAGTATGCTGCAGGTGAAGGTCTCCTGTGCTTATCAGCTCCACTAGTTTACCTGGCCAGAGGTCACAGCTTTTCTTAGCGCTGGCCTCTATTGTGAGGTACCTGGGACCCTCGCCCCAGTGACCTGACTGCAGACACATACAATTTGCATCTTAAAACTTAATTTTCTCCTTAAATGTTCTCTTAACTAATTTTACGTTTGGGAAAAAAGAGGATTCTTCAAAAGTGTTTGACAGCATCAATAGATAGTGTCACAAACTTTTTATCAGTTGTCGTGACACAGCATACATATAGTAATATATTTCATCTATGTCTTGCTTCTACATATGGCTTTGTTATGATTCAATATACGTAATTATTTAATTGTTTTGTTGAAAAAGCAAATTCTCAAATGAACCATAGAAACCTTAATAACCAAGAGAGACACTCAAGTGTTTAATTCATGACATACTTATTCACAATAAATCATAATCTGAACTACAAGTTTTATGAATCCTGTGTTATCATGATTATATTTTAAATGGTTTTACAAATGTTGATGATTAAACCTACCACAAAATATTATATTTTTGGGTACTCTGCCTTAAGTTGTTTGCATGTAATTCAGTTTAATTGCTGCTATGTTGTGAGGTTTTCCTTGTTTTAAGGTAACAAAAGCCCACAAAAGCTCAATCTCATGATAATCACCATGGTTTTTCAGTGTGAAGAACTTACTATCTTTAAGGTATATACACTATCTCAGATGGCCTTTTAACAACGCAAAAAAGAGTAAAGATACATTTAGTAAATGAACCAACAGACACCAATGAACCAAGACATTTTACAGCTCACCAACATGAAAAAAACAAATAATATTTCATTTAGAGGAGCAACAAGCAACACCACGGGGTTGCTCAACGAGGGAACTTCAGAGGCCTGAGAGGGTTAAGCATATATTTGTAAAATTAGAAACATGTCTAAAATTAGCAACAGCGAGGGATGAATGACCTCTAAAACTAACAATAGTATGCTGCAGGTGAAGGCCTCCTGTGCTTATCAGCTCCACTTGTTTACATGCCAGAGATCACAGCTTTTCTTAGCTCTGGTCTCTAATGTAACTGGGACCCTTGTCCCCAGTGACCTGACTGCAGGATTTCTAAGTAAACCCAAATAGGGACACCGACTTAAAGGCACATACAATGTACCTCTTATAAAAAAAACATCAAGTGTCTCCTAGTTATTTCATTGAAACTGTATGACTTCACATTGAGTGAAATATTTAAACAGAAGACATGTTTTGTTCTGATACAACATCACAACAAATTGAAACCTTGATATCTTACCTGTTTATAGATAGAAAGGCATGTGGATAGATAGATAGATAGATAGATAGATAGATAGATAGAGATTTTCCTAACATTTTAATCAGTTGTCATGACACAGCATAAATAAATGTAAATGTAAGAGGCAGAACAGAAGCAAAATGTGTAGAATGTCTATAGCCTATAAGCCATATGTCATCAGTAAAATACAAACTTGACATTCATGAACTAAAACTCGTTTTTCTTACCTTATCCATCGTATCACGAGGATTAAATCGTTAAAGTGTCCTGCCGTCCATCAGTAGTCTGCAGTGGAAGTTCACTTGTTCTTCAGGAGTTTTGTAGATTCACAAATTTCTGCTGTTAATGGTGTTTTAACTCGGCGTCCGTGCATCAAACGTAAAGAAAATGTTATCCTTTTATGGGAAGCGGTCCAACCGCTACTATATTCCCAATAGGCACACGTTCGATCTACATAATGATCAGCAGTAAGTCTCAAACACATTTACATATCTGCTGTATTTTCAAGGCCTAGCTGCTTAACATTCAAATAAAATATTTAAGAAAACAGACAATTTAGGGAAAAAACATTACGGATTCATCTTCCTACAAAAATATTATGTAAAAACCTGTAGATTTGTCTTCATTCTTGCAGTTAATAGGTCCAATTAATATCCGCATCGGCGCACTGGATGTGCGATCAGCTCCAACAATAAGTTAAAAAATAAAATTAGTTAAAACACTGAATTTTAATTCAAGTGATGAACGATTCAATTTTATAGAAAGAAAATTCGGGGAAATATGGAGCAAACCGCCAGTCAGAGCAGGCCTTCTTACTGACCACGTTACTTCAATATCTTAACGCAACCAAACAGTTCCAGGAAAGAAAAGTAATTTCTTCCCGCTACAGGAGACCTGTCAACAGAAGCACCTAAAGGCTTAGCGGTTTCCATGCCAAAACTATTTCAATGTGTTGCCTTGGAAATGAATTCTGCCATGGAAAACACTTACCACGGAGTTAAGTGGCCAGGAGAAATTGTTAAATGGAGCAAGATTGCCAGAGAAAACATCAATTGAGGGTCCCGTGTTTTTGGTAGACAAAAAACTTACAAGGCCACCATGCTGTTTAAAACTTATTATTATTATTATTATTATTATTATTATTATTATTATTATTGTCGAACATCTAAAATGCTTCAACTTTTTATATTTATTTTTGAGAGTTTAATTGGGGTGATTATTTACTAATAATCATCATCATAGGCACTATTTACAAGATCCTAATCTTATTGAAAGGCTTTTTATTTTTTGCTTTACATCAACAGGTGCTGAGTAGAAAAGTAATAATAATAATAATAATAATCTTTATTTGTAGAGCACTTTTCAAAAACAAGTTACAAAGTGCTTTAACAAGAGACACTTGATAGGCAATCTATTATCTGCTACTACACATTGTAAAGCCTGCTGAAATCTTAAAACCTCCCTCAAACACTTCATACGCGATCTTATTGTTCCAAAATAATGTATGTGTAATGTAAGGACACTGACTCCCAACAAGGAGACGCGAACCTGAATTAATCTGAATTAATTAATTAATTCTATCAGACACTTCGTTATTAACATGATAGGCAGTATAGCTTTATATGTATATAGGGGTCTGAAGTCATAATAATGATCACCAACATGCTTCTCGTTTTCATGATGAGATTTCGCAGCAGCCACCAGTTCAACAATTTCTATTTTATTATATGTTTGAAGAAATGTTAATAGGCCTACTATCCGTCTCTTCTTCTTCTACTTCTTCTTCTTCTTAGTTAATGGCGGATTGCAAACAACTTTTAAGTGCATACCTCCACCTACTGTACTGGAGTGTGTAACATCATATCACTCCGCTATCAACCTCAATAAGGTGCTCTCATATTCTGTTCACCAACCCAGTGTCTTTAAGAAATTTAAATAATGCCTTCCTGGTGATTCTTATACCCTTTTCTTCTCCTTCTGTTCCCACTACACCCATCACGTTCCATTCCTGCCCTGCTTCCTGAACCCTATCTTGAAATATCTGTCTTTCCAACTCAAACAATATGCAGTGCAAAATGATATGTTCAACATTTTCTTTAACCCCACAGTTTTCACACTTTTCACTATTCCTTTTCCCCTATAAAAACAAGGTGCCATTCAGTCCTGTGTGATCTACTCTTAGTCTTGTCATTATAATTTCCTCCCGCCTGGTCCTTTCGCTATAATTTTTATTACTGACAGACTTTTGTATTTTATAGTAACTCCTTCCTTTCCTGTCTTCCTCCCACCATTTCTGCCATATTTCAGTACCTTTCTTCTTAATGGCTGTTTTTCCTTCTCCTTTTCCTAGCGGTATTTGAACTGTTATTTCCTTTTGTAATGCCTCTTTTGCTAGTTTGTCTGCAATCTCATTTCCATTTACTCCCTCATGAGCTGGCACCCAGCAAAACTGAACATCTATCCCTCCCCGATGTAATCTTAATAAGCTGTGAAACATTTCTGTCAATAGGTCTTCTCTGACAGATTGTCATTGAATGCTTTTAATAACTGCTAAGGAATCTGTGCATAATATCACCCTATCAGGTCTGACCTCTTCAACCCACTGTAAAGCTATAATG